ATAAACCTTTCCTTCCTTCATTTTGGGAGTTGGGTATTTTGTCTCAGCAACGAGAAAAAAGTAACCAAGACAGGGCTCCTTTCCAGAACCCCTAGAAAGCCCTAGGCTTGAGTCATGAGCCACACTACTGAGGAGCAGAGAGCTTTGCATTGGGTCCTGAAGGTGCTGATGGTAGGAGAGAGATCTGGGGGATCCCTCCGAGACCCAAGATGCCAGGTTAAACACAGGACACTCGCTTACATTTGAGTTTCAGATAGACAGTAAATAGTTTTTTAGCATAAGTCTGTCCCAAATGGATACACTTTTACTAAGAAAGTGTTTGCTATCTCTCTAATGTTCAGATTTACCTGGCCATACTGCATTTTTATTTGCTAAATGTAAGGCTACCCAGAGTTCCCTCCTACCCACCCTTGTCTGGGTCCAGTATAAGGTGGCCTCAGTAGCTTTAGTGCCCCTTAGTTTAAGGTACTCACAGAGCCAGCACCACGGTTGATGAAGCAGAAAAATAGTTGTCGGGGGGAGGGGTCACACTCATGTTTGGCTGTGCCTAACATGGTGGAACCTACTTTTTTTGGAAGAAAACTGGTTTGTCGGGGGTCTCCTCAGAGGACAGGAAGGAAATATCCCCAAATCGTTCCAAGTTTCCCTAACTTGCTTTTTCTTTCATTTTTTTTAAAACAGTCTCCCCATATAGTTCACCCTGGCCTTAAACTCACTGTGTAGCCCAGTACATTAGGGGCCTCAAACTCGCAGTGATCCTCCTGTCACAGCCTCCCGAGTGCTGGGACTACAAGTGTGCTCCACTACCCCAGCTCCTTATTCTTCTTCTTTTTTTTTTGGGGGGGGGGGTTTCCTGATACCGGGAATCGAACTCACGAAGTCGCACTTGCCAGGCAGGCACTGTGCCGCTGAGCTAAATCCCCAGCCCCCCCGGCTCCTTATTCTTGCTAATTTTTCCTGACCACAAAAGAAACACATTCAGGGTGGAAATTCAAACGTCACACAAAGTCTCTTCAGAGGTAACTACTACTAACAGTTTGAGCCAGCGGTGGTGGTGCATGCCTGTAATCCCAGCACTTGGGAGCCTGAGGCAGAAGGATCACTGTGAGTTCGAGGACAGCCTGGGCTACATGTTAAGACCCTGTCTCAAAAAACAAACAAACAAACAAACAAAAAACTCAATTTGATGTGTCTTCCTCCAGATTTTCCCTATAAACTTTTTCATGTATTAATACCTATCACTTCCATAAATAGAATTGCATTGCACAGGCTGTTCTAGAACTTGCTTCTTATGGGATATTTTTTTTTTTTTTGGTACCAGAAATCGAACTCAGGATCTTGCACTTGCCAGGCAGGCGCTTGTGCCGCTGAGCTATAACCCTGACCCTAGAACTTGCTTCTGTTTCACACGGTGTCAAGAACCTCTTTATGTGTGTGTTCTTCCTTCATGTTACTCTGTCTCATTCTTTCTTAATATTTTTGAAAATTTTAACTGATACACAGTAATTTGTACATGTTTGTGTGGCGTTGCAATACATGCATATAGTGTGTAATGATCAGAGCACAGTAACTGGTACATCCATCATCTCAGACACTTGTCATCTCGTGTTGGGAACATTTAAAAAATCTACCAGCTATTTTTAAATATGCAGTTAATTATTGTCAACCACAGTTTTCTTACTGGGTTGTAGAAGATTAAAAGTCATCTTCTAGGGCTGGAAGTATAGCTCAGCAGAACCGCCCCTGCCTGGCAAGCACAAGGTCCTGAGTTTGATTCCCGGTACCCAAAAAAAAAGTCAACTTCTGCCCCTTTGTAGCTCTGGTGATTGGTTTAGGGCACTCTGAGCCTCTTTGAGTGTTTGATGAATGCCGAAATGCAGGTAGACACACCACACATGTTAGTGTGTGACTTGGGGTGTCGCACCTTCCTGGGGCTGAGCTGTTGATGCCTTCAGCTTGTGCCTGTAGTGGGAATGGGTGGGGGTCCCTGAAATGCACCCCAGAGGGGGAAAGACCTGCAGGGGTGTTCCTGTTATTGGCATGGGAAGACCCACACCCCGGGGAGTCTTAGTCAAAGGCACCTGGGCTCCTGCTTCCACTGAGAGACCCTCTGACTCAGCCGGGGGCTCACCTCCTAGCACCCTCCTCAGGTCACCTGATGCCAGCGCTGCCCAGCCCCTAGGCGATGCCGCAGAGAGCCTCCTGGCCTCAAACGGGTTGGGCAGCCTTGACTTCCCGGCGCTGTCCTCCCGACCTGCTCAGTTGGTAGGAAATGCCTCCCTGGCCGGCGTGGTGACAGCAGCGGGAGGAGATCGTGCTGCGCCTCTGGGTGGCTCCCAGCCTCTCGGAGGAGGCCCCAGGTAGAAAGACGGATGCTACTGCCTCAGGTCCCAGCCGAAGTGAGTCTGGGGATCTGGCGGGAAGGGAGGAAGGAGGGCGGCTGAAGCTTGAAGGATGTAAAGGGGTGTGTGTGTGTGTGTGTGTGTGTGTGTGTGTGTGTGTAAGAGAGAGACAGACAGAAGGGAGGAGGGAAGACAGGAGGGAGAGGTGTCTGTGGGTGGGGAGGTAGTCCTAGCTGAAACTACAGGGCTTCTATCAGGGCTCTGGGAGGGAACAGTAGGTGCCTAGAAATGTCTCTGTCTCTGAATAAGAATGGTTTCCCTGGGCTGGTGACAACTGTTCCCCCTTTCCCATCCTCAAGATGGGCTGCTCCTGTGGAGGAGGCTGGACACAGGGATTTCATAAGGTCCCTTCCCTTGAGCTAGCCATTGTCTTCTCCCTGCCTTATAAGTGGCCAGAGGGCCAGGCCTGTTTACGGCCACTCTAAGGAGGGAAGTTTGGGTGGCCACTTTTTCATCCACGTTTCCTCGTTCACTGCTTTGACCAGAGCCCGGCAAACCCTCCGTGGAGGCCCATCCGGGAGAGGTAGTGGTGGTGCAGCCTAGGCTGCGTAGCCAGATGTCCTAGGCTTAAATCCCGAGTATGCCTATGCCGGCGGTGTGAACTGAACGAGTTACTTCACTGAAGCCCTGAGCTCAGATCTGGTCTGTAAAATGGAGATAATACCTACCTCCTGAAGCTGTTGACAGGATTCAGTGAGGAAGGGATGCAAAATGCCAAGCACATAATTAATGTTCAATAAATGGCTGCTGTTATAATTATTTATTATTAGCTCAGCAGTGGTCCCACCTGGCTGGGAAGCCTTTCTAATCCCTCTCCCCCCCGCCCCCAGTTTCCTAAGGCACCAATGGGGATACCTGTAGCAGATAATGCCTAGTATTCTAACTCAGATAGTTTGCACCCAGACTAACACACCTTCCTTGCTTTCTTCTGCTGCTCTCTCACAAATGGCAGCACTCACCAGAGTCAGGGGCATCAGAGGAGCTCAAGGATGGAGAATGCAGGGAACTATGAGAAAGGGAAAGACACAAGGGAAGAAGGGCCGGGAAAGACTGAGACAGGGAGGAGGGAGGGCGGGAGGGAGGTGGCAGTGCATAGGTACGAATGGTGTGGCTCTCCTGAAGCACATAAAATTGAAAGGATGGTAGCAGAAAGAGGCCATCAGTGCGGGGCTGGGGTGTCTTTTGCATTCCTTGAAACCCTGTTTTCCTAGAACTCAGATGAGAAGTCAAACCTCTCTGAGGCAGGAGGATTGCAGCAAGTTCGAGGCCAGCCTGGCCTTATAGTGAGTTCAAAGCCAGCCTCAACTACAAAGCAAGAACCTGTCTCAAAAAAAAAAAAATCAAACTTCTCCTTCTCCCTTGCTCATCTTAAGGACAATGGCTCCTGACTGGGCACCCAGTCTCCCAACTGATCCTAATAATATTCTCTTTATCAGCTACAGGATTCTCGCCCTCTCCCTCTCCTGTCTTTCTCTGTCTTCCTCCCTCCCTCCCCTCCTATCTTCCCTCCCATCACCTTCCCAAGTGACCTTGTGCAAATCATTCCTCCTCTGTAAACCCAAATCTACTCTTCTATAAAACTAAGAGACTCAAGCCGGGCATGGCGGCACACACCTATAATCCCAGCACTCAGGAGGCTGAGGCATGAGGATCGTTGCGAGTTCGAGATCAGCCTGGGCTACAAAGTGAGCTCAATGCCAGCCTGAACTGCATAGAGAGACCTTGTCTCAAAAAAACTAACAGACTCAACCTAATGCTCACAGAAGTTCCTTCTCCCCAGTATTCTCTTATTTGCTTTTATTCTCTTGCCTCTTTGATCCCCACTTTTCAGTTACCTGCACAACTTACGCTACTGATCCTCAGTCTTCCCTTAAAGAAATCTTTTTCAAGAAATGTCTTGTAGACTCTAAAATTTCATGAAGGGCCTTCCTATCACTGCTTATCCCCAGCACTGTCAACTCAGTACTTAGTAAATAGCAGTGCTCAGTAAATATCTGTTGAATACTTGAATGGGCGGATAGATGGATGGACGGATGGGTGGATGGATGGATGGATGAATAGAATTGCTACTATATACTTGTGGGGAATTATAAAATAAAGGGAATGCTAGCAGTTGGTTGGCTTAAGAAAGTCATGTTTAGTTAGATGTTTGCAAGTGTGTTAGGAAATGAAAATAGAGAAACGCCAGAATCATCATCTTAATTTTTATTTATTACCCATCATTTACCTAATCTGTTGTCATCCTGGTCAGTTATTCTGAGATGAGCTGCTGTCTATCAAGGGGTGTGACTTTTTAGTAAAGACATTCGACAGGGGTCTCTAAACTCCCCTTTGGGAGAAGAGGGAGGGAGGACTCAGTCCTCCTTACCAATGACACCTCCCATTTACTGAGCACTTACTGTGTGTCATGTCTCCACGAGTCTGAGAGGAAGGTGGTGCTATTATTTTCAGCCTCATTTTACAGATGGAAAACTGAAGCTCAGACTCAAACAACTCAACCAACATTATGTAAATAGCAAGGGGATTTGAACCCAGCTCCACCATCTGAGTTTTTTACCTCCCCATACACACATGGGGGCCCATGCTGCTCACGTCAGAGATCAAAGCTGGAGACTGCTGCAGAGGTCTTGGGGCTTCCTGCATGGTCCTTCCTTCAAGGGTTCTTATCACCACTTCCACGTATTTTTCCTGTTAGAAGACATTTTCAATTCAGCAAAACAGACTTGGAACCAAGCCAAAAGAGAGGTTCCAAACCATTTGCAATCTTTATAGTTTGTCCTTCCTAGTAGCTCATTTTGTTCCCATCATGTCATCTGTCAGGTCTGGGGGCTGCCACCCAGCTCCATTTTACCAGCGGTCTTTTGTCTGTCATTGATGGAAAAATGTATCAATGATAAGCAACCGTGGTTCCTTCCAAAGAGGCTATTGTAGACCGACTAAGACTGCTCTTGGGCCTGACCACACATCCACGCAGATATTTCCCTTCAAAATTCTTGGCATTTCTGCTGGGTGCATCTTTGACAGTCTCTCCTTCGCTGCCCTGTATAGTTTAAAGCCCACTGTTATAGGGACCCCTTGAGTCAAACAAGAACATGCCACTAGATCACTCATTTATTTTCTCACCGTACTCAACTCCCACTGGCTTTTGTGGCCATTTCCAAAACACAAGAGAGATCCTGTAAGGAGCTGAAAATCTGCCACAGCTGAGGTTAATCAGAAGGTTCTCTGCCCCCGGCAGCCCTATAAAAGGAATCTGAAGAATGACTGAGCCAGGCCTGGTGGGTGTGTGACTACACGAGGACCAGCAGCCATCTGCATGTATAAGTTCTGAGCTTTATTTTTAAGACAGTCATTGTTTTATAGTCACGCTTAGCGCAGAGGAATGCACTCCAGTGGCTGGAGCAAATCGAATGAATCAGTCCACCCCGGCTGAGGAGGGAGGTTGAGGGGTGGTAGCAGACACTTTTCTGAAAAATGGCCTCTTCGAGCGCAGGCCCAACCTGAAGACTGGACTGAAGCTGGCGGTGCATCTTCTTAGCTCCCTCTTTGTCCTGGGTCTTCCTGCCTTCACTTGAGTACCAAACCCGAACCCGGAAGAGGTGAGGTGGTGACCTCAGCATGAGCGCGTGTCATGGTTGAGGTGAGGCATCTGGTATTACAGGTACTCTCTGCACACTTCCTTCCAGCGTCCAAGGTGGCTGAGGCCTCTGAGCTGCCTCCCAGGGCCGCTGTCCGAAGCGCCTGCGCACCTCCTCCTAAGGGGCTTGGGCTCTGGCTCTTAGTTCTGGTTCGATTCAAGTAGGCCACTGAGGAGAAGCGCAGAAGAAGGGCAAGCACACTGGACCAGAGGAAAGGAAGCCACAAGAGAAGGCATAGTGCTTCAGGGAGGCTGGGTAGCAGGTGGGGACAGTGGAAGTTAGGAAGCGGGAGAAAGAGGGGACAGGCCGATGTTCACGTTCCTTCCCTCTCCCTGTCCCCAGATAAGCCCTGCCTTCTCCGAGCAGCCATGTCTGAAGGGGAGAGCAAGGACAGCTCGGGCAGCGAGTGCCCCGTGTGCTACGAGAAATTCCGAGACCTGGAGGGCGCCAGCCGGACGCTGAGCTGCGGCCATGTGTTCTGTCACGACTGCTTGGTCAAGTACTTGCTCTCCACCCGGGTGGATGGGCAGGTGCAGAGGACCATCATCTGCCCCATCTGCCGCTATGTCACCTTCCTCAGCAAGAAGAGCTCCCGCTGGCCCTCCATGCTGGACAAGAGCTCACAGACCCTGACTGTGCCCGTGGGCCTGGCCGTGCCCCTGCCCTCCGGGCCCTCCCCGGACCGTGCAGGCCACACGAACCCCTTGGCCACTTCCCAGCCGGTCTGGAGGTCATCCTCAGGCCAGGGGGCCCAGCTGCCCTTGGACCTGCTGCCCAGCCTGCCCCGAGAGTCGCAGATCTTCATCATCAGTCGCCACGGGATGCCCCTGGGGGAGCAGGACAGCGTGCTGCCACGGCACAGCCTGGCCGAGCTCTCGGAGGTGTCCCCGGCCCCCAGCACCACCCGCTCCTTCTGCTGCCGGTCGCGGGCGCTTCTGCTCATCACCCTCATTGCGGTGGTGGCGGTAGTAGCTGCCATCCTGCCCTGGGTGCTGCTGGTGAGGAAGCAGGCGTGAATGGCAGCACCTGGCAAGACCACAGAAGGAGGCCTGGCCTGAGTGCTGCGCTGGCCGTGGCTTGGGCAGGAATGGACTAGGTGCGCCGACGCTCTGAGGGTGGGCTGAGGCAGAGAGGGGTGTGGGGTGGGGCTCGACTGGCTTTCCCCTTACACACACACACACACACACACACACACACACATCCCAGCAAGGGCTTGGGCAGACAGGGAGGCTGGGGGCTGGAGATCCCTGAGGCTAGAACTGAGCTGAGATGCCCACGTGTGGCTTCAGTGTATGTTCTTGGCCAGTACCCCTCCTCCAGGCTGGAATTGAGCAAGCTGGGAAGACGGCTGGTCACTGCCCTCTTATGGGCACCTTACCTGCCAGGTGACCTCGCTGAAGCCAGGTGGGCCCCCTGGGGACAGAAAAGCCAATGGCAGACCTTGTATGGGCCAGAAATCACACCTAGGATTCTGTCCTTTGCCCTCTGGAACAAGCAGAGGTTGGTTTGGAAGGTTAGGTAATGGTTTCCTGGAATGCTGGCCCCACACATGACCCTCGTAGCCGTCCAGCCCCAAGCCCACCCTGCCTCCAACCCACTGTTCTGGAATGTCTTCCCTGAGTGAGAGGCTGATCTCAGGGCCAGTGGCTCAGGAAGAAGCAATGCAGAAGGAGCCGCAGAGAGCGCAAGAGGCAAACAGGATTGTTGACCAGAGGCCCAGGTCAGAGGAATGACCACAAACAGAGCTGGAGCTTTTCCAGAGCCCTCCAGGCCCAAAGAGTGGGCCAGATTTTGAGGCTTGGGGTTCTCCAGGCTGGAGCAAAAGGCAGGGAGAGGACGCTTGACAAGGTGAGACCTGAGTCACCTGAGAATTATGTGGGCAAATTAACCCCTGAGGGCTCCCGCCTCCCTCCCTGCCCAAGTCCTCCTCCCCATGACCCAGCCACTCATCAGAGGCCACACTAGCCAGGCCAGTTTCCCAGGCAGATTCACAGGCTGAGCTGGGTGAGGAAGGGTGGGAAGGAAAACAGCTGTGCTTGTCAGGGACTCTGCTGTCTCAACAAGTGCTGAGAGCCGGGTGCTGTGAGCTGCTCCCCACCAGGGCCTATTTATCTGGGGACCATAACTGAACCAGCTGGGGACCCTTGATGAGACACCCGAGAAAAGCCTTGGGCGGGGTTGAACTGGGCTCCTCTGAGGAACAACTATTTGGGAGCAGTTATTGGCTGTAAACTGAGGCCCATAGTCAGTCAAGGCCTTATGACACTAGAACAACAACAGCAGAAGCCCCAGGCCAGCACCCCAGGGGTAGAGCAGCTGAGCCCCCACAATCTGTACCTCCCCTTATCGAAGTTTGCTATCTGGCTGTGGCTGCACCATTTGGAAGTCATTACGGAGCGGGGTCTACACCACGGGATATTTATGACATGCAGGGGGCTGTCTTAAAGCACGGACTTCCAAGACCAGAGAAGAGAGCAGGTGCTACGGGGGAGGGCAGGATTCAGGGACAATATTTATTATAGGAGCAAAAATAATGTTAACTTCACAAAGACTCTAATAAGTCTGTCTTCACCTCAGCCAGGCTGCTTTAAACAGTGTCATAAATTTCTAGGGACCTGATTTGAGTCTTTTCAACTGCTGTTGTGTCTGCCAAGGGTTTCTTTCCAAAGACCCACAGTGTTTGCATATCCTTTACCTCGCAGATGACACTTCTTTTATTTTCAAAGAATGTCAAAAGCTATTTTTTAAATAAAAGCTATGTATTTTCTCAAAGATCCAGGGACATTGTAATGTATGTGGGAAGCTCCAGGTTTGGACTTATAGGATAATTCATGTTAAATGAAAAAGACGGTTTAAAAACAGAAACGGAAATGGCCCTTAAACATTGATTCAACCACCATTGTAAAAGAAATGCAAATTAAAATTTCTGCTGGCATTCTGTTTTTTACCCACTGGCTCGTCAAAACTGCTGAAGCTGATGGGAATTGATGGGAAACTTTTATCAAGGGAGATTTGACATTATCTATCAGAATTTACACTTTGACCCACAAGTTCCTGTTCTAGAAATATATCCTATACATACATTTGCACATCTAGGCAGTAACGTACATGACGTTACATAATTTCAGCATTCTTTGTTGTAATAAAGGATTGGAAAAACCCTAAATGTTAATCAGTAGACAATTAGTAGCTGGACATGACAGTGCACACCTATAATCCCAGCACTCTGAGAGGCTGAGGCAGGAAGACCACAAGTTTGAGAGGCTGAGGCAGGAAGACCACAAGTTTGAGCCCAGCCCGGGGAATTTTTCAAATTAGGAAGACTCTGTCTCAAAATTAAAAATTAACACAAAAGGCTGGGATGTAAATCAGTACGAAGGCCCTGGGTTCAATCCTCAAAACAATAAGAGAAAGGAAGGACTCTAGGGGTGACACAGAACATCCCTGATATACATTGGCAAATGTGAATAAGCTAGGTAGGAAAGAACGGGTACCAGATATTACAACTTATGTAGAAAGAGGAGGAAAGGATAATTTATATTCTTATTTGCTCATTTCTGCAGCAAGAAATTGGGAAGATACACACAAAACCAATAACAGTGCTTATCTATGGAGGGAGATGAGAAACTGATAGGATGGTAGAGTTTTCATTTCACCTTTTATGCTTTCCTACTTTGAAGCCAAGTAACTATAGTTTTTATTGAAAAATTAAATTGAGGACTGAGGGTGTAGTTCAGCTGCGGAGCCTGTGCTTAGCATGCACAAGACCTTGGGTTCAGTTCCCAGTGTGTGTGCATACACACACACAATGACTCAAACTGAAAAATATTAGAAGCTAAAGATAGCTTCAGGCCAGGTGTGATGGTGCACGCCTGTAATTCCAACACTCGGGAGGATGAGGAAGGAGGATTGTTGTGAGTTCGGGACCAGCCTGGGCCACAAAGTGAGCTCAAGGCCAGTCTGACCTACATAGCAAGACCCTGTCTCAGAAAGACACACACAAAAAAAGATAGCTTCAGCATACACACCTGCTGCCTGGTGGGAAGACTGCCCCAAGATCATTGAGGAACTGCCAAACCACCGGCCCTGCGCTTCAGGAGCATCAAGGTACTAGTTCCTGGGCTGGTTTATCTGGTTAGAGGTATGACATCTTATGCTTAATGTGTTCCCCATAAGTCAGGCAAGAAGTTTAAGCTTGATGACCCTGTTCTGTGCACTTCTCTGGTCCCCATCATTTGATATGTTCATTTTGATTCCCCTGTCTCTGTCTTTGTTTTTCCTTTTTAAATAAAGTTTTTTTGCTTTAAGCAAACACTTTAGGTGAGGTCACTGGAAGACGATAACATCAGGTAGAGAATGACAAGTAGATAGCTGGCTAGGTGAATAGATAATAGCTACATAGACAGAGGGAAGGACCCTTGAGGTTAAATCTAAACTCTCCTGTTGTTCTCTTCCTCCCCTTCTCTGGAGGCACCCAGGCATTGTGTACACACACACACACACACACACACACACACACACACACGCTGCTACCTTCCATAGGCACATGAATCTTTTACTCCGATACATACTTGCAGTCTCAGCATACCAGGCAAGTTTAAGGAGTCCCAACATTGCTGAATGGGCACCAGAGCACATGTCTCCACCTTGTCCACCTAGCTTTCCAGAAAGTTCGAAGGTGACTGCAAAGACTTCCTGGTCCCTTACTTCATGTGAAGTGGCTCCTGCTATGTCACACATACACACACACACACACACACACACACACACACACACCATCTTCTGGGGGACAGGTTGTTATGCTTCTTCACTGAGATGACTGACTCCTTCCAGGCAAAGTGTTCCTTCAGAGGAGACTGGATCTTACAGATCTTGGAATCTTCAGCCTAATACAGAATTTAGTAAATAGTAAGAACTGGGTATAAGGTAAAAAAAAAAATTTTTTTTTTTTAGTATTTTTGTTTTTCTTTGCAGACAGGGTCTCACTATGTAGTCCTGGCTGGCCTTCAATTCACTATGTAGCCCAGACTAGCCTTGAATTTTCAGAGATCCTCCTGCCTCAGCCTCCAGAGTGCTGGGATTACAGGCATGGTGCCACCAAGCCCGGCAAGATAAATATTTATGTAATGCATGTCTGCATATATGAATGAATGAACGGGTGGATGGATGCATAAATAAATGAGTATAATAGTTTGATGTCTAGAAAAAAGTTTAGTTCACTTTAGGTGTGAAATCTGGATATAATCCCTGCTTTAGTGTGTCTGAGGGCTCCACAGAATGATCCTAACGAGCCAGTCTAAAGGATCTTTTTCAAAGCAGGTAAAAAGTGTGTAGGGAAAAGAGGCAGCGAGGGCAGCCAGACTGACGAGGTTACAGAGCTCGGGCAGGGTGGAGCCGAGAAAACCAAAAGACGCTGGTTAAGATAAACAGACTATAACTAGGCTACTGGAAATTTGCATCTCTGGGTACGATTTGTAGCTCAACAGTTTTCTCACTACATAAAGTGGCCACGCTGTCCAAACAGTGGCCGACGATTTATCTTGATGATTCAGTGTTAGGGAGAGACAAAGGGGAAAGGAGACCCAGAAAAGGCAGCAAAATGTCTGTGCAGATGGGAATTGAGGAAATAATGCGAACCTTTTGTAGGAAGAGAAAGTGCTGAAAGAGGTCTACAGGAGGAAGCATCCTACAGTAGTCATCCCACATGGTCTAGCGGTTAGGATTCCTGGTTTTCACCCAGGCGGCCCGGGTTCGACTCCCGGTGTGGGAAGATTGTAATTTTGAAGAGATGTGGTGGCGCTCGCCCGAAATCTCAACACTTGGGAAGAGGGGACAGAAAAATCCCCTCTCTCCCGCTAAAGGACTCCCTTGGTCTACCTAGTGAGTTCACGCAGCCAAGACCCCGTCTCAAAACGCAAAGTCAAAAGTGTGAAGCCGAACACGCGAGAGAAGCAGTGCAGGAAGGTGATCTCTCTGGCTTTCCAGCGTTCAAACAAAACAGCTCAAGCAAGGAGTCCCAGGCAGCCCTCTGCACGCCCGTCATCCTTTGACCCCTTGGCCCCTCTTCTTCCGGCCACCCGTTCCCTCAAGCTATTCTCTCACTGCCTCCTGGGGCTCATCCTAACCTCAGCTCCGTGCAGGGTGACCTCACAGCAGAAGTGTTTCCTGAGCCCAGCGTCCCTCTTCTGCCCAGAAGCGCCGATGCATCGGAGGCAGCTGGCTCAGCAAGCACCGTTCCTGTGGTGCGTGGTCCCAGCCGGGCGGGTTCTGAGGTCGCCTCTCCTGACTAGACTCCTGCGCGCTCCTGCATGGAGGACTCAGACCGGTGGCTCCACGTTCTAGCGCAGAGCTGGCCCGGGCAGGATGCTACATAGGCATTTGTTAACTAGACTTGCAGCCTAGAAAACCTCACCGAGTTTTCAGTTACAAGTGAAAACTGAAGCTCTTGCTCTTTCCCTCCCAGCGTGTTTAAGAACACAATTGTTCTTGTTTGCGTGTGCGCGCATGCGCGTGTGCTGTACTGGGGCTTGAACTCCGCGTGGCGCTCTACCACTGAGCTACATCCCCAGCCCTTTTTATTTTTCACTTTTTGGGAGGTTTTTTGAGACAAATTTCTGTAGCCCAGGCTGGCCTTGAGCTCGAAGTGATCCTCCTGCCTCAGCCTTCTGGATGTTGGGATTACAGCACCATACCCAGTTTATTTTATTTTTCTTTTGAGATAAAATCTCACTAAATCACTTCATCTGGCCTTGAACTGACAGTCCTCCTTCCTCAGGCTCCCAGCAAGCAGGATTCTCTAGAGGTATGTGACTCCATTCTTGGCAACATAACTATTTTTAAACCATGAAAACACATTCTTCTTAAAAAATTTTATTCCTTATTAGTCCATGTTTGCAGCACCTAGATCACATTCCTCCTGGGGAGTTGGTACTTTTACACAACATATTTCAATTCTTTCTTCTTCCCTCCCCATTCCCTTCCTCCTCCCTCCCTCCATCTTTTTATTTATTTATTTTTGGTCTTTTTGAGACAGGATCTCACTATGCAGTTCAGGCTGGCCTAGAGCTCACTTTGTAGCCCAGGCTGGTCTCAAACTGGCAACAATCCTCCTGCCTCAGCTTGCTGAGTGCTGGGACTACAGGCACATGCCACCACACCTGGCTCTTCCTTTCAACTTTTGGTCCCCTTCCCTTCTGCAAAAGATCTATCTCCCTGTTTCCTAGTGTCTATCTTTTATTTTGTTCTTTTATTTCAGGTTTCTCATTTAAAAAAAAAAAAGTGCTATTTAAGCTTGCCTGTCTGATGTACTTCACTTAACATTATGGTCTCAAGGCACATCCATTTTTCTACAAACGACTCATTTATCCTTCTTTAGGACAGAGTAGTACTCCATTGTGCATAAATACATTTTTTTATTCACTCATCTGTTGAGGGACATATAAGCCACCTCCAAAATTGAGCTATTATTATGCTGCTAATGTTTATATGGATATGTATGTATCACTGCAATATGATGCCTTTAATTCTTTGGGGAAGATACCTAGAAAGAGAAAAGTTGGGTCAAATAGCATTTCTATTTTTTTCTTTATTTGGGGGGGGGGGACAGGGTTTCACTGTGTACTTTAAGCTGGCCGTGAGCTCACTATGTAGCCCAGGCTGGCCTCGGACTGCTGGCAATCCTTCTCCCAAGTGCTGGCACCAGAATTTCTATTTTTGGCCGCCATCTTGTAGGAATGAGAGGAACGCCCGGTTTAGAGCAGTTTCACCTGAGGTCTCTGGGCAGTGTCGCTTCCATGCATACACAGTATGGGGAATATCTTCACGAACCTCTTCAAAGGCCTTTTTGGCAAAAAAAAAAAAAAAAAATGCACATTCTCATGGTGGGCCTGGATGCTGCTGGGAACATGATGATTCTGTATAAACTAAAG